TGAGATACAGTATGTTCATTTCAGTATATATTTTCAAGGTGAGTTATTCAAATTCAAAATAAAGAAATACTGTGACATTAGCTTTTCACTAATGACATATTTTTGATAATATTTGAGTAGCCAACTGTTCCCTTATTTAGTAATTTGTTGTTTGATGCACACTCAAATTAGTCATTCATTTATATACATTTCTGAATACCAGAATTGAGAATGAGATGAGGGCACCCACCACGAGTGAAGCATAAGTTTGATATGAGTGAAAGATTAGTATAGATTTAGGGAGATCTCTGAATTTGGCCCTTAAATTTGCATTTATCAGCCACTATAACTTAATTCTTTCCGCCGAGATATGTTTTGCATGTAGGAAAAGACGCTCATGTACCAGGTCTGTTCAGAAAATAACCGAACTTTATTATTAATTTTATACATTATTTTTCCTTGGCTCCTTCAAAGTAACCCATCCTCTATTTACACACTTTTCTCACCGGTTTTTCTATTTCGCAAAGAAGTCCTGAAATGGTCTTTAGAGTCTGTGACGAATTTGCTTTGATATCATCAATAGTCTGAAAATGGCATCCTTTTAGCACCGATTTTAATTTGGCAATAAGAAAAATCGCAAGGAGCCAGGTCTTGCGAGTAAGGAGGATGAGGGAGGACAGTAATCTGATTCTTAGCACAAACCTGACAAAATGACAAAGCTGAGTGTACGGGCGCATTATCATGACCAACTCTGGTTTCTTTTTGTGATTTTTTTTAACCGTTGTAAAATGCCTTGATAGTAAACACGATTCACTGTTTCACCTTGAGGCAAGAATTCAAAATGCATAATTCCATTAAAGTCGAAAAAACAGTCAGCCCCACTTTTACATTGCATCAAGTCTGACGTGCTTTCTTGGGGCGTGGAGATTCTTTACAATCCATTGTGATGATTGAACTTCTGTCTCATTGTCAATCTCGTAGCCGTAAACCCAGCCTTCGTCTCCCGTTATGATCTTTGGAATGAATGTTTCACCCTCATTGGATTGTTTAAAGTGTTGCCGATAAATGTCTACAACTCGATGCATATTCAATTTTTCAGTCAAAATTTCGTGGCATGACCCAATTCAGATGCTACCTCTGCAATTTCTCGGCGATTTGCACGCATCAGATCTTTGACTTTTTGAACGTGGGAGTCATCAGATGAAGTCGAAGGTCTTCTTGGTCGAGGATGATCTTCAATTGACTGACTTCCACAGTCTCACGCAAAATTTTACGTTGCATCGTTACAGAAAATCACTCATTACAAAAATTGTCAGTGACAATTTTTGTAATGACTGTCACTCCAATGGTTGTCACTAACACTTAAACACATTGCACACAGATAACAATGTCACGAAAACTAAATGAGATATCAACAATCCAAGAACATGTGGTTACAGAGGAGGTTACGCGCTACGCAATGCTGCCAACCGCATGTCATTAAATATCTCCGTTAGCCTGTAATTCAAAAAAGTTTCTGAACAGACCTCGTATAAGTTAGATGTGAATTACAGGACACAAACAATATTGCCGAAAACTATTACATGTTTGCCGGTAATGAAGACAAGGCCATAAATATTTTTATGAAGGTATTTCTAAATTTCTTTGACTAAAAAAATGCCTATAGTTATAACTATTTTTTCTTCCTACGTATTTCATATAAAAAATTAGAATTTAATAGCCTTTGTATTCACAACACATAATTTATTTGTGTGCCGGGACAAAGTTCGCTAGCGACAAACTGTATTATGTATGCTCAAGTCTTTAGCAGTAGTAGGTATATTTAACAGCGTTTTTTATTTATTTGCATTTTTGCACTCACAATCAGTAACTACTGAGTATATCTTCGTCCTGTGTTATCAACTCGAATAATAATGTTAGAAATATTCTCAGTACCCATCAGTGCAAAAATGCAAAAAAATGCACATTACCAAAAATTTTGTCACTATAATAATGCTCACCGTTGGCAGATTATGTGAGTCTGCCTTTTGAAAATGTCATTGTTTTCATTTCATGAACTGAGGGGGGAGGACACAAACGTTGGTAGATGCAGACCTGACAGACCAGAGATTGCAAAGTGTGGCAGATTGTTATGTGAAAATCTGACTATTAATGGACAAATTCATAAACAAGCGCGCTGAGTATCCGCTGACCGGCGTGTGTGACATCACTGCATGGGAAACCGATGCAGCATGCTTGTGTGTAGTCGGGATTTAGTTGCCTGTTAAGTTTTGATTGAGTACGTTAAGATACAGAATTTTCTAAGCAATATGGAAGACACAGAACAGAAAAAAATTACAAATATTGTATTGTTCCCTAATGTGAGAGTAGTAAGTGTGAAGACGCATGACGCCTAAGAAAATAATAATGTCCCTGTAATTCTGTCGTGCGGATCTAAAATCAATAGTCTATTAGTCTTTACTTTGATTTGTTTTTTTAATATCTTTTATTTGAAAAATGACTTATTTTGAAAACAATAAAACTACCTTGCGTAATTTAGGTATGTAATAAATACGTTTGTATCCTCTAGAAACACTATACACCTCGATGCTTTAGTACGAAAACATTCAGATTTCGATTAGAAAACATGTTATCTCAAATTTTGGTTGGAAAACATGCTATCTCAAATTCCGGGTCCGAATCGTTCGTACTGCACCTCAATAAAAAACACGGTAGCCGCGTCCTTGCATAGACCATGGAAATGAAATGCAGGTATGTGACACTTTTAATACCGGTGTGGCGGCATGTTACAATTACATTTTTATATTTAATTAGCAATAAATTTGTTTTTCTAATTGATATCACATTAAGTATAAAATAATTAATATCACATTATATTAAGCTGTATTTAGAGTAAATGAGATTAGGGATAAGTACATCATTAGATAGAGCTTTAGGTTATTTGTTTTACCTGGATTAGAAATAGGTACACGACCGAGAGGGCAAAAATTTATCTGAGAACAGGCAAAGAAGCGACACTATCAGTATGGGTTAAGCCTTGCTCCCGATCGGTCGTGCTGTTCTGTAAAGAAGCGGTCAATAAAAGTTATATTGTTACACGTTGTGTTTTCCTTTGGATGAACACGAAGCACCCCATAAATTGGTGACCCCGACGTGATCTGAACACGCAACCTATATTGTTACACGTTGCGTTTTCCTTTGGATGAACACGAAGCACCCCATATCGGTACGTTATGATCTGCTGATTATAAACATATGTGCATGGGGAACTGCGGAAATATGCACGTGCATATCATATGCGCCCGTCGCATCGATATATACATATCATTCAACTTTATACATTACATTTATATTCTGGTTATTATGTTAACTCTATAATAAAAGTAAGAGTAGTGACTATAAATCAGGTAAGAGTGCGCTATTAATTTTTATATCAAAGCAAATTTCTATGAAAAAAATCGAATAATTTTTAGTAATAATAAACAATTTTATATATTAAGGTATACACTATTTTTTTAAAATTTGTTATTTCAAAAAATGTCGAGTAAAGTACGTGTTGCAGCATCCTGCATATTATTCAATTTTTTTAGTTAACAATTTTGTCGTTTATAACAGTAAGTTAACAAAATTACGTAATTGAAAAATGTTGAATAAAAAAATTAATATAAACAGTGTACCTGAACATAAACATTCCTTACTTTTTGAAAAATATATTATATAAGTTCATTATAAATGCACGGTTTCAATTATTCAATGTGCCAACTTAAATTTCTGGTCAAACTCATATAGCATATTTTTACTTAAAGATCTGAGCTAGCATGTTTTCCAAGCTTAATTTTAGATAGCATGTTTTCATACTAAAGCATCGACTTGTGTTTTCCATTGTTGATTTTTTTGTGAATATTATACAAATACTAAGTATTTATATAAAAATACATAATAAATATTATATTTATAAGATTATTAGGTAGACTTTATGTAGTTTCCATGGGATTAAAAAGAATTTTAAATTTGATTAGGTAAATCTTTGAAACCTGTGACAGAAACGGCTTCGTCCAATTAAATGCGAAATCCCTATTCTTATTTACTATTCTTATTGTACAAAAACATCAAAACTTTCGCTAGAAACGTAATTTAAAGAAGCTTTACACGTTATTAAAACGTAACCTTTGCATTGTCACTCTTCTCGTCTCAGCATTGATAAAGTCGTGGTTTTTATTTAAAAAATCCATAACCATTAACAAACCTACTTCTGGCAAATTGGAAGAATCTGCTTTTACGAAATTTGCTTCCATTTTTAAATTTAATATGCGCAAAAGCTAAAACATTCTGTACGATGCAGCAACTCATCTGGAAGTAGCGCCAAACCGGCTGACCGTCCCATGCGGTGACGTCATTGCATTGCCACGACTAAGACAAATATTCGCATTTCAAAAATCATATAGTTTGAAAACCGCTCAACGGATTGAGTTGAAACTTTCAGGATCACCCAATCATGACCAATACTTTGTGTATACAAAATAAGAATGTTTTTGAAAATTTAATGACCACATTCTCTCGCTCTAGTGTATTCCGCATCGTGACGTCAGTGAGCATATTTCGCCTTGAGAAGTATATTACAATTCTTTTGACTGTTTTGCACGTAACTTCGTTGTTGGCAATTAATTGTAAAGCACCACTAATTAATTTTTACTTCGGTACGGCTAAAAATTATCTCCCCCAGAGCGACTCCTGCAAGAATTCCCGATGGCCACCCGTCGCGGTGACCCCTCCGGCTCGAGTAGAATTTTCGATGCACCGCGGGGCCGCGCGCATACCGCCGGCCGCGGAGGTGAGCGAGACCGGATCTCCCCCCGCGCCCCTCGCTCCTCCCGTAAAGGTCGCGTGATTATGAATGAACCGGCCCCCCTCCGCGCGCCCACTTCATTCATCCCCGCGCGGCCGGCGTGGCTCCGTTCATGCCCCCCGACTTACTAGCTGCTGCGTTTCAGTTGTAAATCCGTTGCAGACCGGCCCGCTGGATCGCCGACCATTCATCCCGACTTTTGCGCAGTTGTTCCTGTTTTCCCACTGACTTTTCGAGTGCTATGAGGTTCTGTTGTTGTGCGATGAGTGCCGTTGGATTTTCTCATCGGATGTAAACGTAAGTTTTTAGCTAGGTCGTTCCGGACGTGTGAAAGTCGAAAGTTGGCGATTTATGAATGGACCTTTCCCGATGGCGAAGCGGTGTCTCGTGGGTCGAACCAAGGAGCGTGGTCGCGAAAGCCCCATTTTTGTCGCCGCCTGCTGCCGGTATCGATAAAGTAAAATATTGCGAAATCGCTTGTTCGATATCAAAATGTGCGGAGGCGGCGGCAGTTTTTTTTTTACTTTTCTGTTCTATAATTTGGCATAACGGTTACGGTTTAGCTGTATATATTACTGACGGTGTTAACGTAAAAGTAATTATTTAAAACAGCAGTTCCCAATCTTTTTTCGTAACAAACCTTTGCGCTGTACGAGAACAGGCCGAAATAAATAAGTATCCATTCTTTATAAGAAAAATTTGAACCGTTCGGGACAAAATAGTAATTCATTCATTTAAAAAACTTAATTTCCATTAAATTTGGAAATTTTTAAATGTTGCATAAATACGCAAATGAAAATAGAAACATAAGCTTATTTTCATAAAAATATGTGAAGAAGAAATGAAGAAATTTATAAATTTAATACAACAGTTTTAACATTTTAAAAATATTTAAGGATTATTTCCCCCGAGCTATTAAATTAAACAAAATTTAATGAATGACAAGTATGCTGCTGCTTTCTGTTTATTATTTTTGCGTGACGTGGCTGTAAAGTTGTTCCGACAAAATGTATTGTAGATGTGAATCTTTTAAAACCGAAAGAGTAAAAAATGTTTTTTCGCACGAATGGGTGATAGAAAAATTTAATTGGATATTTTGCTCTGTTTTGTGTATTCATATTTCATTGAAATCCAGACTGAATTGTACAAAAGTTTTGGATTTAACGTTTGTTACAGAAGAAATGTCAACGAGTGTTTGTTTTTCTTTAATATTAGGGTCGGTAGAGCTTATATCCTTTATAAATGAATTTATTAACCGTATACATAGATATTTAATTTTAGATTTTCTATTTCTGGTTAAAATTATTGAGGATTTTGCAACAATGCTTGCAGATGATCTGGAACGAATAGCGCATTTTGCTATTTACATCTAGAGATTCTGTGCTCCTATTTTGTGAAAAGCAGTAAACACATTTTTAATTTTTTCTTGGAATGATAAGTTGTCCAATCTTAACACAAGCTCTTGGTAGAATGACCTTTGCTCTCGAAGAAATTGTTATATTTCTTCTGTTCAAAGAATGCAGTTTTAAAAATAGAATACAATAACTATTGACAACCATTTTACCTGCAATGAGGAAAGTTATGCATTATCACATAACATTGTGAAAATTCGAGAAGTCAGATGCCGAGAACTTTCATAAACTATTTTCACCTGATTAAGTTCTAGCGGTAGTTTTCTTGAGGCTAACATTCCTCCATTTTACGCTACATTAGCTCCAGGATAACATGCTTTCAGTAAAATTTTGAAGGAATACAGTGAACGGGCAAAAAGTTTGACGTACTGGTATACTGGTTCGGAGACCAGCGCGCAGCGGTTGGGAAACGCTGATTTAAATCATAGTTGTTAGTCTACTAAATTTAACTTTTCGGTTGGATAAGCACATCACATAACGCTTTTCATTTCAATCTCTTGGCTCCGTTACTGACAATAAGTATTTTCCAATACAGCGTGTTTTCTTAAATCTGTGATTATGCTGATGTATATGGTTTATTATTTTAAACTTTAAAACAACATCCACAACTAATATCAACAGACGTAAACAGCATGATAACTAATTTGAAAAACATTAAAAACAGTTTACATTTATACCGTTAAAAATAAATTAATTAACAGGAACTTCGGGAATTTGTTGGAATAACACAATAACAGAGCGAAATCTGTTGAAGGAAAATTGATACGTTTTTTGAAATTTTAATTTTAGTTTAAATTTGATGACAAAATTTAATAATAAGGATTACTTTTTGTCGAAGCAAAATATTATTTGCAAGTACAGGATATTTGGAACTTGACACATCAACCTTGTTACGGAAAAATAAAAAATGACATTAAAAAATTTTACTTACGCTCCCATTTACGTGAAAAGTATAGTTGTTTCGCCACGAACATTATAAAAGACGACTGCAATATCGTGAACAACTTTTGTTAAGTAAACTGATTGTTCTTCTGTCTGTTTGTATCTATATGTACGAAAATATTCGTTTTCAAAAATTTTTTTTCCGCGAGTTTTAATTTTTTATTCCTATATGCATTGTTAACTTAGATGTTTGGCACTTGACAACAAAAGTTGTTCAGTTGTTGCAGATGATTTCAAAATCCCTATTTCATGAACTTTGAACAAAATATATTTTATGCGAAATAGCCTCTACTTAGTCCCATAGAACTAACTTTTTTTAATTTTCGTTTCTTTTTCCTATAGTAAAACGAGGCTTCAAGTGTAAAATACCCTGTATAGTAACTCTTTTTATATTTCTTTTTCCATCGAGTGTTTTTCTAAACAAATTAAATACTTATTACCTAATTTTTTTTGGCCAAAAGGATCCATCAATCAAGGAATCAGATAAGTAAGCAAAAGAAATATACAGGGTTGTGCTAAATTGTCTCCAGATATTTTTAGGATATCACACAATAAGGGTAACTTTTTTTTCGCAAAAATGCTTAATAAGGGAGATCTCTTTAAAAGAGGATGGTAGATATAATATATTTTGTGATATCTTAAAAGGTAAAAATCTTAATACATACATCTTACATAAAGGGTAATTTTAAGGAGTCTGTGTCACTATTTTATTCCCAGCTTTTTATTTTTGTTTCATTGCAAAAAAAAATATATTGATCTCTAGATTATTAAGGAATAATAAATGGGAGCGTTTGTAGGAAATTCTGCTTTCCAAATGAAAAGCGTTTGTAAAAATTTCATGACATCGATCGTATACTTATGTCTTGAAATATCACAATTTCCATAAAACAATTACAGTCCACACTATATCTGTTGAGATGGAATTCCAAGAAAAGAATAAGCCAATAAAGTTCTGTTATCACACCCATTGTAACAATTTACAGCGGCAGAGGCGTGCCTTAAATTTTCCGCCAATACCTTTCTATCTCGGATGTCAAATGCGGGCAGCAAGGGCGTGCCTGGAAATTTACCGCCAATGTCTCCACCTCGGGTGTCAGATGCGGTTAATTCCAAGAAGGTGACGCAGGGGTCTTCCGGAATTCTAACTCAACAAATATCGTACGAACTGTACAGACCGACACAAGTAAGTTTGCGTCTGATTGCTCTGCGCACAAATGCGTACTAGACCGCTATTCCAAATAGCCGCGCCTATGTCTTATTCTTTCTAGACGAACGCGTTCTTTCTCAATATCGTGCAACTCTGCTTAAGTCATAAAAAGAAACTCATTTGTACTGCAATAATTTTCATTTTTTTTGTGAAGGAAGTAAACGTAGCAGAATTCAAGAAAATGAGAAAATCTAAATTTGACTACATTATCTTTTTTAAATTTTGAAATCTTTAAGCGATAACACTAAAGTATGTTTTTATTTCTTGAAAATTTCCAGCACAATTCGATTTATCAGAGTTAAGGAGATCAATATTGGAGTTGAAATACTGATAGTCACACCTGATTCAATATGTGGCATTTAAATAATACTGCATATATCAGTGTTTATACGCTTATAAGTCTAAATTTAAAATAATGAAATACATATCTCAAAAAACTTTCTTAAGATATACCATCCCTCGTTGTGGCCATTTTTGGAAAATGGTGTACATAAGGAAATACCCTTATACAGCCTGCTACAAATTCGCTTCTCACTACAGGGATCTCGGAAACGGTAAGAGGTACGAAGTAGCTTAAATGGGGGCAAAGTTGCGTAATCAGGGGACCAACATTATGCCTCTAAAAAACAAGGCTAACACGATTAGTTTTCGAAATATTTGAAAAAAAACACGAAATTTTGGAAATTCGTTTTTGTTTCATTTCAGCCTTGTTTGAGGAAAATAAGTGACTTTTCTCAAAATAGACTTATGTCAAAACTTATTGATGGATGTTTCATAAA